TTTGCTGGTAACCAGATGCGCAGGCATTTCTTAGAGTGAAGGATAATGCTGTGTTGAAATTGGTGCCGCGGAAAAAGCATCTGTTATCGAAGCTAAAAGTTACAAAACTAATGCCTTTAATTCGTGTGTATGACTATTTAGATAGCGCGACTATTTTCAGGCATACAAGGGGCAACAGGTCTCTAACCTGAGGAATTGAAATTTAGCCGACTTAGTACGACTGCTAGCCTGGGGACATTAACGTGCCTCGCGCAGCAGTGAAACACGACCAGATGCGGGTTCGATGCTATACACTGTTTCATTTTAGAGGCATACTGAACCGAACCATTTAGTGTCTATAATAAGTGCCGAACGACCTTTCCATGAGCCAGCAGCCGCCCCTGTGCGGATGCACTCGCAACGAAATTGATGTCATAGTACCCCATTCGCGCTCAAGATGACAGTGAAATGTATGGGCTTTAGGCCTAGTCAAAATAAAGACATGCTTTTCATCTCCAAAAGTAAAACCTACGTGCTTGTTAGACCAATTAGTCGCTTACCTTTTACACCAGACCCCGCTGTGGAGATGAAAAGCTTGTCACTATTCTCCGTTTCTCTGGAGCCCAGACATTTCACCGTCATCTTAAGCGTGAATGGGGGACTATGACGTCAATTTCGTTGCGTAAGCTAGCGCACACCGGCGGCTGCTGGCTCGTGGAAAGATCGTGAGCCAATTACTATAGACACTGAAATCCAGCATCCCTTTTAGTGCGAGCGAAACCGAAGCTAGACGCTCGAGCATACTGCCCTGAACAGTGCTTGCGCTGCACGAGTGCACGTGCCTAGCAAATTTAAAGAGGGGAGCTCGCACTCGTAGCTTCTGCGCTCACACTTGAAGTGAAAGCGAGTATTACTCGCGCTTTGAATGTGCTTGCCAAGCACGCGCACGTGCAGAGCAAGCATCATCCCGGGCCCCACGCTCGCGCTTGAAGCGAGCGCGTATCGAGAGCTCGCCCTGCAGAACCCAAAGATCATGAGTTTAGTCATTTTGTCCCGACCCTGCCCGTTTGAATCTGGATGAGCCTCGTACCGCCGTGCAGTTGTGTATCACTACTGGTTACTGCTCGTTACAAAATACAGTCTGTACTCTCTTGGGCTGGTCCGCAGCGGACACTATGAGCCGTCTCGGTCCATCGAGCACAATCGGCGGGACACGCGGTTTCGCTCTCTCCATGTCGTTCTGCCAAGCCGGGATGTCAGTGACACGTCATCAGCGGTCAATATGCTCCAATGGATCATAGCGTTTGCTGCGGTCTATTTTAGGATGAAACGGATTATAAGTCATACAGCAATGGTTCAATTTCTTATCAACATCGTAGAGGCAACTAACAAGCGGCAGTCGCCACTTGAATATTCGACAAGCATTGCGCTGTCTAAATATCCAGAAACATTCAGTTAGGTTTCCAAAGATGCAACGGTGCTTGTGGTTGACTTCAGCTTCCCAAGGTCCTGCGTTCGATCTCTGACGTGTCGCTTGAGCTGACGAATTTGGCCACTGGGCAGGATTAGCTCGTATTAGCTGGGACCTCCCCCCCCCCCCCCCCCCCAAGAAAAAAAACGAAAAAAAGCTTCCCTCTTTTTATTTTTAGAAGGACACTCCCCTCCCCCTTTTTTTCTCTCTCTCTCCTAAGGTGGCAAGGGGAAAAGGGGAAAGGGTGCGAGAAAGGGTTCTCTTCGCTCGGCCTTGCTACGATCGAGGCGCCACGTGGCGACGGTCGTTACAACTAAGATGGGATGTCCAAAAATCCTGGCCTTGTCTTTATTGGAAACTTTGGGTGCACTGTACAAATTTATTAGAGAGTGATATATTAGCCCCTCAAATTTTTGGGGCAAATATCTCAACCGAAGACCCCATTCAATGCGCGACAACTAACATCTCGCTCAATATCATGAGAGGGCAAGCCCAAAGATTAATTAGCTCTTACTCGCACAAGTTTCAACACAGTGGCACTAACACAGAAATAGCCCCAAAGCACCTTGGATCCTGTTCCATGCAGTGGGCCTGCGTAATTTCTCAAAATTAATGTCCAAATTTTGCTTGCAAAAAACATTGTCTTTAGCACTGTAAACAATGTAGACACTATTGTTCAACTAAACACAGAAGAAAAATGTATGTAGGCAAGTAGCGTGGGAACAAGGGCAGGAGGCTTCAGACCCCCTTCCCCTTTCCCCCCCCCCCCCCCCCCCCTTGAAATTTCAGACAGCTGCGGTAAACAATGCTGCAAAAGGGGGCGGGGTTAAGCTCAGAGGCTCCGTCGCCCCTCCACGTTTCAAACACTTCCGACGCAACCGATTCAGGCACAGAGTGGGCCAGGCTAGCCGGTAGCTGGCAACAGTGAGTTTGCTGTCAAACAAAAAAAAAAAAGAAATAAATTGTCCAACATCACATATTACCCGAGACCGGATAATAGGAACCTGAGGGTGAAAAAAAAAACGAAGGTAAGAAAACAATCTTATCATTATTGGCAATTACATGTTTACGCGTTTTCTGTTCATTCGCACATTGATACTATGTTGAATAATGAACACCCTGTCTCCCCTCCCCCACCTTTAATTGTGCTTACATCCTAGAAAACAAAATAAGTGTACTTCAATTCATAGGTGCTGGTCCCAACCCCCATCAGCTGACACCACTTGTCGAGACTGTTTTAAATGTGATCGGGGACGATTCCCCGACGATCTGTGGGATTGACGTCATCATCGGTGACACCGAAAAGTAGGTAACACTTTATAGGCCATGCTGTGTATGCTATGCTCCTGTTGATACTTTATACATTACAATACTAAAGTTGTAGGTATGAGCACGTGGCTTCGTCAATCACCTTACTTGTGCTAATTGAATGGCCCACCCTTACGCCTACAAGTTTGATATCGTTGCACACTGTATGTAGACTGTGACAATGGAGGCGATAGTACAGTGGAAGCTCTGCACCCAGTTACAGCTTACTAGCCCTGACAGCACAAGGATGCACAAGCAGCAGAAGAGAATGAGCACGCGCTGAAGGTGCATTCTTTTTCTGTTCTGCTCGTCACATTATGAGTACTTCCACAAGATGATAGTTATGAAACTGATGATAGGGATGTTCTGCTGTCACTGATGATAGGTATGAAACTGAGCAGAGACACAAGGCATATCAAAAGTCACCAATTGTTGGCATGCTCCTAGAAAACATTGATGAGCATAGGGAACAGTTTGGATTGTCATAAAAGAATATATTGGTTTTCCATCTCAAAGTAGACATGTCAGTTGCATAACACTACTGCTGCGTGCCCTTACATAGAGACCAACTTCATGAAGCAAAACGACAATATTAGGAGCACGAGTCAAAACCTGTCCAGTAGAGAACAGAACACAGCACAAGGACACCACCTTCACATATTTAGCCATTTCTGCACTGCTGAAAAAGTGCCAATGAAACCATTTATTAGGGTAAATGCAGTAAAACTCACAGTTTGAAACTATTTGTACCACAAAATTACAAAGAAATATTTACATCATAATCAACAAAGCTATGGTAGTCTTTCTCTCAAGTTGAGATCACCTATTTTCTTCAAAGTCAGGTCACTCAATACCCAAATTTTTCCACTGTCAGTGGAAATGTTTTTGCATGATCTTCGTACATGCCTGCTAACGTAGCAAAAATCCATTCTTTTTTGGTAACGCTTATGAGATTAAGTTGAGAATGCACCAATGACTTATTCGATGCTGATCTGTGCCAACAAAATCTGAAAAAGTATCAATGTCCCAGTTAGCCGGACAGTGCTTGGGTACACAATAATCACATATGACGGCTGGTGTGAGTGTGCCACATCTACTTGTTTTAAATCTTGTACAAATGTCTATGTGGCGACTCTACCAACCGCCAATGAAACAAAGTTGCGGGGTTAGGCACTCCAGTCTGTTGTACCACCAACATATGTGGTAAAATTATGACAAGTGTTACTGTCACATCTGGATTAAGGTTGCCGCACGTTGCACTCAGTTCTCCCACACATATATGTACCCTGATCCAGGGTGACGTCAAAAATGTCATGCACTGCAGCCCTCATGCATCACTTGGAGAGATAGAGGACGGAGAGAATCATGTCACGGAGGACGTACGTGCACGAGTATGGTGTCTAGTCACAATCCTTTGCTTCAATGCTCTGAGCAGCTCTCTGGAGCTGTAGCCCTTGCAGTTTGCTAAGTTATGCTGAAATTTACAAGTTCACTCCTGCCCAACAATAGCCCTCTGTGAGCTGCCATTTTTCTCACTGCGCATGCTCGGAACACGTCCCGAGCATTAACTTTATGCAGGACAATATTGTACCTCGGGCTGCCATCCACAGCCAGTCAGTGACCTGGGTTTTTAAGTTTGCTGATAATCGTTGTAAAGGCTTATGCGTTAAAGGGATACCTCAACGAAATTAAAAATATACCCGTCGTGTTCAAAAATAGGTTGAATATGATCCACTGTATCCCTAAATGACAATCGCACGTTTGTATTTTGAACCTGGTGGCTATAGTTTTCGTTACAAACGGCCCACCCTGACAAGCGCTCGGAGAACAGCCAGCGGAGAGCATGTGACACCCAACGCAATCGTGACGTAGTTCGTCTCGGGACGAGCAAAGCTGCGACGAGGCTGACGTCGAGAGGATGGCCTAGTCGTTCCAGCCACCAAAGCGGCTGCTTTTGTACGAATTTTGAGTGAAGGGTTAATCTTTTATAATCTTGTAGGGGGACAATAGCAACTTCTGGGACATACAAAAAGGATTCTTTGGAAGAGGAGAGTTCCTCCTTCCCCTCTTCTATTGTGGTAGCCGGAGGCGAGACAGTTACCGTCACTAGCTGTCAAGGTTCTTAGACTGGCATTACAAACGAGGCGTTAGCGACATCCACCTGGTGCTCTTTGCCAATCGCTTAATTCGTTTTAAAATTCCTTTTCGTGACTTTTTTAACAAGATATTGTTGTGTTCGATGTGATACTGCTCCTTCGAACACATATAGACCAAAAAATGAAACCCGAAATTTTGTTGTAGTATCCCTTTAACCTCAAACAATTTCCTGGTCATGCGTGTCACTACAGCAGCTGCACGGGAAGGGTGACGACGCCGCCACCCTCGTCATCTGGCAGCAGTACAGTTGAAGACGACGCAGCACAGAGAACACTGGCCTCTCCTGTTGTGCAGCACAACCAGCGCTGGACCCGTGAGGCTGCACAGCAGTACCAGAGAAGGGCCGAGCGACAGCAGGATCTGGAGCATGAGAATATACTCCTTGAGAGAAAGTACACAAATGGGGCCATACAGGCTGCAAACGCAACCCTCGCTGCAGCAGATGCTGCACGGAGTTTCTATGCTATAGGGGAGGAAGTGCTCAGGGAGCAAAGAGAACTCATTAGACTTGAAACCACCCGAGCACAGCTGCAAATTGAACTGATAAAAAGACAATTAGGACAAGATTAACTCATGTAATGAGCTACTTGCATTGTTTGTCGCTGTGTTGTATACATATTTTGCGTTTTTTCTGACCTACATACTTGGTTGCACGATTATAACGCTCACATTTTTTTTGCCAAAATGGGTGCCTAAAATTAGATGCACTTACAATTGAAACCAAAACTCAAAAGAAAAACGCAAGGCAGCTAGCCCAATCGCCTTTGTGACCGTTTGTTTACATTAGATATTTTGGTATCCGTATCGCGCGTTCTTTCGCCTTTATGTCATCACACTGACGGGAAACGATAACCACGGAGCGACACTGCGTAGCCTCGCAATCCCAGCGACCCAATGAGCTCGCGAAGTGTTGTATGAAAAAAAAAAGTGAAGGCCGTTTACAACTCTGTAACGCCGAATTAGAGCGCAGCTCTTGAGGAGGAGTAGGGAAGGGTACTGAGGGGGAGGGGGGTCACGTGACCTCGGCGGGGGGGGGGGGGGGGGGTCACGTGACCCCCAGGTCACATGACCCCGCAGAGAAATTTTTCCGCTAGGTTTAGCAGACAAATTTTTCCGCTAGATTTAGCGGGGAATTTTTTCCGCTAGATTTAGCGGGGAAATTTTTCCGCTAGATTTAGCGGGGAAATTTTTTCACTAGATTTAGCGGAGAAATTTTTCCGCTAGATTTAGCAGAGAAATTTACCCATCATGCACCGGCGGTTACGACGACGGCGACGGCGACGCCGCTCAAGCCGGAAACGAGCGCCTAAGAGCTGCACTTATGGGTGTTCAAAGTGCATTACTTTACCTGCGCGGTAGAATCGGCAGCAATTAAATTTTTCGATATCTGGGAGCTAAAATTGCCTGCATGTAAGTATCGGGGCCACGTTAGAATCGTGCAAACATGGTATGTTTGACACTTCATTTATTTTATGCATGCTTTCTACAAGGGAAGCTTGCACACAATCTTTTCCATGTCGTTGACTATCCCTACACTAGACCAGCGTGGTTGTTCTGATCGCAATATTTTACGCTGTGGTTAAGTAAGCAACAGAATATCATACTGGCAGTATGGCACCCAGGCTTTCGACGCCCCAAAGGTGGCACATAATTTACATGGATACCTAAAATAAAAATATGGGTTAAGCTCAAAGGCAGATGTATAATTCCTTCTTTCCTATATCCCTTCACATGTTTCCCTTTCATAACGCGGCTCCCCGTCACAGCTCAAGAGAGGAGGTCGCCAAGACGATTAGCCTCCCGGCAGAAGACCAAGGTCGAGTTTCTGTGTTTTAAGAAAATGTTCGAGTCATCGATGAGTGGACCACAGACACTTTCTGACTTGCATCTGCAAATATTCCTTCTGCTTTTAAGATAAAGGCTTTTTCTGCCTGGATATGCTCCTGCGACCTATGGACTGCGTGCTGCTTATGTACGAAAAAGTTCATACTAAGAATATCCCGAAACTCAGGAACAGAAAAAGGGATCAAACACAACACTACATCATTTTGTTGCGTGTGTCACCTTTTGGGGCCCCGGGTCTTCAACTCTTATTACTTTGAATCGTCACCACTTACCTTGTTCTTTAAGTATTTATTTATTTATTTATTTATTTTATTTAAAGAGTACCTTCATCGCCTCGAGGGCATTATTGTAGGAGGGGTGGGAAATAACACACATACATAAAAACACAAAGTGATCACTTGTCCGCACGGAATAGATATACAACCGAGAAAAAAATACACTGATATCCAACACAACAGTTTTTTGGAGCTGAAATCTACTTGCTGCTTGTACGTAGGCTCGCGATAATTCGAACTCGGATATTTCGTACTTCCAGTTATTTCAAACAGGTTTAAAAATTTTGGTTGTCCCGCTAAGCTTTTTTATGTATTTATAAGCCACTTAATTCGAATGGCGTTTTCGCTTAATTCATAGTTTTTTGCTCTCGCGGCCCTGTTGAGTGCGCTTCTTTCCGAGCACCGCTGCACCGCAGAGAAGCAATACCTGCGGAGCTTGCTTTTGCGAGTGTTGCTTCTCCGCAGTGCACCAGTGCTCGGAAAGAAGCGCAGTCAACGGGGCCGCGAGAACAAAAAACTATGAATTAGCGAAAACGGCACACATGAACGGAAAACGGCGTTCAAATTATGTGCTTCAAGACTAGCAATGATGACCAAGACGACAACGAGGACGAGGCACAGCTCACTGGCATCATGATTTCTGGCCTTGAAACACGTAATGTGAACGCCGTGCAGGCGAACTATATTAGTCTTGACGACGATGTGTGTGTTTGTCATGATGACTCATTAGAGGACATAGTACGGAAAGTAATGCCAGCACAGTGCAGCAGTGACAGTGAAGATGACGATGAAGAAATGGATGACCCACTACGAACTGTCACAGCCGCAGAGGCCTTTGAGCACATCGCTCAGCTCCGGAAGTTTCTGTCTGCAAAGGAAAAGTCCCGTAAAGAGCTGCTTGCGTTGGCTGGCATTGGAAATTTTGTTTTGAGATCTCATGTGCTGACTAAACAGTCCACAATTGACGACTTTTTTGCCGGATGAATAAACTTAGTCACAGTTCTTTCACAAATGTGTTATGCCTGTACTTGCTTATAGTTATGCATTAACTATAAGCAAGCTATTGTGCTATGTAGAGGAAACTGGCCAAAATCTGCTTTGTATATATCGCTATCCATGTAACAAATCATAATGTTCTCTAGTATCATATATATCCAACTAAAATATGTGACTTTCTGGAGTTTGAATTAATGAGAGTGTAGTATGTACAATAAAGCTCCTCTCTGGACAATGCCCTACTAAAAATAAATGTTTTGCAAATGATGTTATCATGCCAGCCAGGATGAAGAAAATATGAACTAACCCTAGGAGGTTTGTGAAAAATAAGAGAAAAGCTTTGCGGGTTGGAAAAACCTGTGAAAGGTGTTATGACTCAACACTCAGAAGCGTACACTATGTAAATCCTATGAGCTAGTAACCATGAGTATGCAGTGAAAAATAAACATTCTATGGGGTAGTATATATAATTTGTACTGATAGCTTTGAAATTGGTATCAAATGAACATTGTTTCACTATACTCTCCTATTCATGCTCCTGTACCCATTAAATAGTATCGGTTTGTAGATATTGAATGGGAAAATAACTGTCTTCTTCAGTTGCCTCATTATAAACTGTGCACACATAGTGTGTTATAGGGCTGACTTCAGCACTTCCCATAAAGCATCCGTCGGTGTGGGAAATGTATTACAAAAAATAATGACAGTATAAAAAGAGAGCTCCAGAGAGTGCGAAGAAGTGCACAAATTTGAAGAAGCATCCCTCGTGTCATTAGTTAGAAGTTTGAAAAGTGCATTGTTATGAACTCCGGAAATCAAATTCAAAATCTATTAGTTTAAGAGAGCCCGTGTGTGCCTATGCTTGTAGCTCTGCGAGAGTGCAGGAGTTGATGGGGAGGAGACCAAAGCAGTAACAAGCAGTTGAGCTGCAGCGTGCGATTGCAGGAGTGTTGGACATTGCACTGCACTCCCGTTTAACCAATAGCTTCGGCAGGGATTTTTTTCGAGCACACTCTTTCCAACGAGCTAATTATAAGTGCCTCAAATGACACATTTCGAGCTTTGTAACAATAATGCGGGAAGTAAGAAAATTTTTTTTCATTACTTATTTCGTCGCTCATGCTGCAATTTACACATACTGCTATGGAAGCAACAGGTATAAGGGGATGTCCATCAATCATTCTTTACATTTCTATCATCCAAATTTCGAAACTCTATGTGGGATATCTGCAAGCACTACCCGAATTGATCTGTGCAAGAGTGATATATGCATTGCTGGAATGTCATTGTCATGTTGATAACACACTTTCAGCATTGTCACATGTGTCACACTCCTTTATGGGTTATTTTGGGTAGAACTTATGATAATCTTACATCCAGTTAGATCATACAAAAAAAGCTTAAAATAAAATTAATCAATATCTCAAAGCTGTTGGCTTCTTGCTAACTGTGCAGCACGGTTGAGCCCCTAACTGTTGCAGTTTCCAAAAATACAATTGATGTTTAAGTAGCAAAACAATAAATATTATTTCAAGCAATTATTTGATCTAGTTAGACAACTGTCTGACATAATTTTCTTATAATTATCTGCAAAGCCTGATAAACAAAAGGTGAAAGCAATAGCCACGATCATAACAAAGCATCTTGCATTAGAAATGGACAGCCAGAAGATACCTATCCAGACACTTACACTTAGCCGAAGAAATGGTTGACAATAAAGTCTCGGGCCTCGTTGCTCTCAGCACGGTTGGCTGCTACGGGCTCAACGGGAACCTCAGCGGGGATGGCGGCCACGGGTGTCCTGCAGGGGTACCTCTTGGCCAGGTTGTGGAGGGCACAGCACGCGACAATGATGTCGCAGCACCGTTCTGGAGCCATTCGGAGCTCAGCGTGAAGGCAATGGAACCTCCGCTTGAGTTGGCCGATTGTCCTGTACAGAGCGCATGGATCAAAACCACATGTTATTCCTTCCCAGAAACCCAATAGCAAAATCGGACAACAGCGTGGAACGCAAATACTCAAGAGGATGACACGCAACAAGGACAAATTTACAGCTGAATTCGAATCGCAAATTGGCTGCCGTGCCCGATATCACACCTCCTAATTTTTCCAGCCCAAGCTCCAGCCCATTGCTCCAGGATATCGAAAGCTGGGCATTATGCATACCATTTTATTTTCCTTCCGAATTATTTTTACACTGCGTTCACATCCGGGGTCACCTGAGGTTAGCCTGTGCAATGTATTTTATAGAAAGCAACAAGCAAAGTGCAGCTTTATTCAAGCGCTATCCTCAAAGGGTTTCGTGGATATGCTTCCAACCAAACACCTGCATATGCACAGGCCAATATGTTAGAATTTTTTGCTACCTGATTGCTGCCAACGCTGTTAGAATTAACTTGTAACCAAGCTTTATACTGCAACAAATACAGTACCATCAAAATTTCATTCTACATGTTACTTGTGAGACAGAGTGAAAAGAGAAAGAGAGCCAGACTCTTGTCTTGTTGAGCCTTTTCCCTTCCACTCTCCAGGAATAGATGTTCGTGGTAGCGCAACCCATCTACTTTTGTCATTGATCAATAAGAATCCGTCTTGTAAGTCTGGGAGATGTAAAACGTAAAGCACTTGATATAACGCCTTATCCAAGTACTCCTACCCTTTGATTGTGCCGCTAGTGTTCCTATTAGTTAGTGGTCCACGCACCGCCATTTCTGACTCAAGTGGAAGCTCCTGGACGCATGCAGCCAAAGTTTTGGTAGAGGGTCTTATGGCGCTTTCACAACGGAATCCCAAGCAAGATTTGCCTGAACATTTGAGATTGCAGCGACTCATCATCAGTCGTGAATGACGTGTAAGATGGTGTCTAGAGACTATTTGTGGAAACTTGTTATTGCATGCTCAACTTCAACATTGTCCAAAATGATGCCTTGGCACTACTCTTAAATCCATCGATGAGAGCAGAATAGGTCATGCTAGGCATGTACTCTTGGCCAATCGGTCAAGACGGTCAGCAACACACAATTGTTTGCGACTTACACCGATGTGCCGCTATTTTTGGATCACACGCATCTTAGCACGCACGAGCTTAGCTGTACTTGTGCACTCAATATGAGTACATACATATCTAGCACGTTTAGTTAGTTTTCATTAAACAGCCCGAAACTGACATTTCAAAAAGTAGACATATGAAAGTGCCAAGGCACAGTGTTACTTCCACTGCTGTGTCTAGGAAAAAAATTCCATTGTCATTAATGCTTCTTTTTGTCCAATTAACAAAATATCAACTTCTGTCCGGGTCTTGCGTAGCACTGGCACCTGAGGTGAGTTTAGTGCTTTTCCCCATTATTGCCAGTCCTGGGGACCTAAGACATAACTGAGTTTCTGCATTTTCAGTCTCAAGCGATAAAACCCAATAAAGTGTGGTGAGGTAAGTTTCGAAAGTTTGATTTTAAACCTAAATGGTCAGTACTTTAGACCATTACAGGTGCATGTGACCGAGTAAACAGAGTATAGAAGCATGTGACCGAGTAGTCAACTATCTTATCTCCGTGCTTTCAAACTATTCTGTTGGAAGCACACTTTAGGAAGTATTTGGGTTTGTCATCGATGCAATTTGCGTTCCTTTGTCCATCAAGTTTGCTGTGGTCGTCTAGAGGGCGGATTTGGAGCGTTTTCATTGTTTGTCAAGCCATTTGGTCTTACTTTTGTTCTGGGAGGAATGGAATGTCATTCTGTTCCTATTGTAGGGAGCATAAGAAAAAAACCAAAGCTGTTTAAACAGCCTCTCTCAAGGTGCTATCTGGTTAGAGGAAAGCAGCTTTAATAGTCCTCCACATGTGAAGAACAAAGAAGCGTGCCAAGAATTACGTTTGCAAATTTTGCGATTAAGAATTTGTCGTCACAGCACATGTATAACCAAGGTTACGTTTGCCATGTCCGCAAGTGTTGCCGCTTGACGAATAACTCAGATATGAACCTAATCTACTGCATTCTCGACAAACCTGCTTGAAAAAAAAACGTAACTGGTCAATAGATATCGACCGGAAAAAGGCAGTAAGCTTTCGACTAAAAATATTCATCGATAAAAACTGAAAATTTCATACTCACAATAACAACCGAAAAAAGTATGCCGATTCCAGAAAAATAAAAACTGAAACCGCAGAACCCTAGGCAGCTATTATAAGTTGTATTGATTCGTAATCTCAGGATACTACTTTCATCTTGCTTACATAAAACCACGGTACCTTATGCTTCGTTAGATTAATATAAAAATTTGTATGAATATTTTTATGCCATAAAGAATAGCAACAGACGTAAGGAGCATGCACGTGTTGCACATATTACGTCAAGACAGCTAGTCGTCTCGAAATGTCTTGCATGAATATCTCTGTGCCCTTCACAATATATGGCCTAGATTTACCGTTCAACAATGCTTCTTGTCGTGTGTGCCGTATTGTATGCGACCTCGGCTGCTGATGACGGCGACAGGAATGGCGTCATCAGCCAAGGTTGACAGGAGTAGCCGCTGTCACCAAGCAGCAGGCCGTCGTACTCTCCACTGGCCAGCTTGACTGCCAAGGTGCTCTCCGTGAAGATCCGAGAGTCGTGGGTGCTTCCAGGCCACCTTGCAACCACGTTGCGAATCCGAGAAGAGGCGTCAACGACCACCTGTACGTTGATGGAATGGTATCCATGGCGGTTGACGTACGCCTCCTCGTGCACATGGGGTGCCTGGATCCGGACATGGGTACCGTCAACAGCACCCACGACCAAAGGAAAGCCGGCCATGTCGTAGAACTTGTGCTGCAAGGCTGCCCCCTCCGCAGCGTCAGGCCATCTGCGTCGTTGATCCCCTCAGCAATTAAACCACATATAGTAAACTTACAGCTACAATGCTTATGAATACCTTTTTAATGAGGAATGCTAAGGACTTTGGCTGTGCCCTTCAAGTTTGTGGTAGCAGTAAAGTGCCTCAGTAGCACCTGTTCAATAGTGAAGTTTGCATGTTTTCATAGGATCCCTTTTTATTTTTGTTCAGTTACCAAGACCTATAAAGTGACTGTGATTCGGTGCAAGTCCTTACCAAAAGTGCAAACGGGTCGCTTTCTGAGGTTTCTCAGAAAAATGGCGTGCCCGGGCCCTTTCCAATCGGGCAAGTAGGACGCTTACGGCCGTAATCATTTTTTTTTCTATTGAAAAGGGGGGGGGGGGGGGGGAGGAGGGAGGGCTAGTTACTAGTAGGTAGAATATTACTGCCATAAAAAGGCAACCTACAAAACATCCCTATCACCAGCAATTCAGATATATTTTTAGTGTATTTACTTTACTTCAATACGGCTGGCAAACTACAATTAAAAGGAAAAAAAAAGGACCCTTACCGTATGAAGTCTTGTGCTCGACGAGCCAGCGCTACGGTGACTTGCCTCACAGCCCGTGAAGCACTTGACACATGCACGCGGATGTAGTCGCCTGCAGTGATCAGAAAGTTCCCAGTTGCGTAGAACTGCAAGGCGATGATCACTTGCTGCTCCGCAGAGAGGGCGCGGCTACGACGTGTACGGCGCTCCAAGTCCGGACGCAGTGTGTCGGCGAGAAACATTATGCCCGCTCTTCCAAATCGGAACCGTTGCTGCAGCCCATCCTCGTCGAAATCCTCAAAGGGGTTCAGGCGGTCCCGCAGCACACGCTGTCGCCTCATCATTGCCGCTGCGTACTGCGCGTCCGTGCGATCTCTTCTGTGTCGGCGATTCCTTGCGTTGGACATTCTGCCCGGTAGCAAAGTCGGAAATCGGTCCGCAAATCTTATCAGTCAGTCCGTGGCCGGTCGGAGGGTTTGTCGGTGGGTCGGTCGGTCGAAGGGCAGAATACAGACAGGAAAACTCAGATGATAACCGAAAACGAGAAACGCGCGTTGCGTGCAACGAGGCGAAACTGGTTGTATAAACAAACGCCGTGCACGCGACACGGCACACACGGCGTTGCCAGACTTGGAAGCGACGGTCGACGCACTTGCTTTTTGCAAAACACGACAACAGAAAACTGCAAAGCACTTTGACTAGGTGTCTTGTCTACGCTTCCACAATTCGAAAGAAAGAATTTCGATGCAAAAAAGAAACTATCCTTTTTCTTTTCAATTGAGCAAACGTTTCTTGCAAGTTACAACTAGATTTAGCCGAAAACGGTTCCCATAAAGCAAACGTTGTATCATAAAAAAATAACGATTTATTTTTTTCAGCACAAGGTGGCGCAGGCTCCAGCCCAATAATAAAGGACGGATTTGTTTTATGTCCAGCCATTAAAGTTTCGTAGTAGGTACAACGTAGGTACAACTAGGTACTTTCGGTACCTACTAGGGACTTTGGCCAACGCTAACCGCGGTTAGCTCTTCGAGCAAACGGGCCCTGAAGAAGTTCCCATTCATAAACCAGGGAAGCCAACCGGGGACATCAGCTCCTACAGGCCTATCTCCCTCACCTGCTGTCTCGGCAAGGTTCTGGAGCGGATGGTCCTAAGACGCCTTGACTGGCAGCTTGAGACATCTAGCGCTCTACCTCATCAATTATCAGGCTTCCGAAAACGGCGGTGCACAACAGACGCGATTGGTGACCTAGTGTCAGACATGGAACAATCAAAGGCAACCCGCCAAGCAACCTCGGCAATAATCCTTGATATCAAAAAGGCCTTTGACTCTATCCCGCACGAAACCATTCTAGCTCAGCTAATCAGGCTTGGTGTTACCGGCCGAGCACTCGCATTCGTTCGTGCATTCCTGACAGGGCGTACAATGTGCGTTCGCTTAGAAGGTGTGCGCAGTTCACAACGGCAAGTAGCCCAGGGCGTTCCTCAGGGCAGCGTCATTAGCCCATTTTTGTTCAATGCAGCAATGGCAGCTCTGCCGGAGGCTCTGCAGCCCTTGAACAACCCCTCTCCAGTCATAAACATCGCAATTTACGCCGACGATGTTGCTCTCTGGGCTACTGCCCCAACTAGCTCATACAGTAACATGCAGCGAACACTCCAGCTAGGCCTCGACGCTATAGTTGACGTGATATCTAGGCTTGGTCTTACGTTATCGGCCTCTAAAACAGCCGCTCTTCAATACCACCCTACGGCCAGGTCTTCCATCAACCGAACTTACACGATCAATGGGGCAAACGTGACAAGGGTTCGAACATACTCCTATCTAGGCTTCCTCCTGGATGACCGAGTCTCTTGGCGACCAGCAGTCAAGACAACCATTATCAGATGTCGCCGACACCTCAACGCTATCCGCATGATCATTGGCAGCATATGGGGGACCGTACAGGCAATGATGATGCATCTCTACAGGGGTCTTATTCTTTCAAGGTTGCTATACGCACTGCCACTGGTGAACCTCGGCAATGCCCAGAGTTCAGCAGTAGAGACTCTTCAGAGAGTGGCAGTTCGTCTGTGCCTTGGATTACCCAGATATTCACCAAACGTTCCAACACTAGTGGAAGCGAGGGTAAACCTAGTGGAAAATCACGGTAGAGAACTAACACTCCGACACATAGCGAGGCAAACTGTCTGTCGCTCAACTGCTCCTCTTCTGGATCGCCTTCGCCAACGCCCCCTTTCTTGCCTTGGTTCTCTGGCAACGGAGTTTATGACCTTTATTGGTGATCCGGACACCGACTACTCGGCACCGCCACCATATGCCCCTCCACTGAACATAAATGAGACTGTTCCAATGCTCAAAAGCAAACGCAACACAGCACAGGTCGTTGCCCGGACAACTACAGAGGATCATATTGAGACACTGTACCAAGGATGGATGCGAATATACACCGACGGCTCAGTTCTTCGTAGCAGCAAGTCATCTACCGCAGCGGTTTATATACCTGACCTGAATGTGTCTCATGCCAGAAAGCTCCGCTTCCACGCCACATCAACAACCGCTGAGCTGGTGGCCCTTAGACTTGGACTTGACGCCCTGGAGAAACTTCCTTACTGCGGGAAAGCTTTGCTCCTTACCGACTCAAAAATAGCACTACAACATCTTGGTAATCTTGATGATGCCCCTCAATATGCCCGATACATTGCACACCTTGCAAGAAACCTCCAAGCAAAGGGCTGGGAAATATCATTCCAATGGTTGCCCTCACATGTAGGCATTTTGGGTAATGAGACGGCCGACCTTCTTGCCGCTGCGGCACACCAGCTTGGTACTCCCATTATGGTGGTGCCAAAGATTCATGAAGCCAAGCTGCTAATTCACCAAGCGATAATCCAGAATCATCCGGACCCACGGGTCGCTGACGGGAAACCACCCCCACGCGTCCCTACGAAGCTACCACGTGCAAGCGCCTCCGTACTACACCGGCTTCGCACAGGCTGTGCCTATACTGCATCTGCCATCCACCGAATTGACGCAACGATGAGCCCAAACTGCTCTACTTGTGACACTCTTGAAGATGTGGACCATCTCTTTTGGGCCTGTCCCAATTACGCAGAAGAGAGAAAAATCTTCTTCGACAAACTGCAGATCGCGGGAGTTGCCCGCTCTACTACGCAAGACATTCTTTTCCCCCCCGGCTCCGTTCGTGATGCCGCAAGAACATTCTCTTCTCTTCTTGTATTCCTGGAAGATACCTGCCTACTGGACCGCTTGTAAAAGTGCTGACAGTGCTGTGAATAGATATAGAGTAGTGGACAAACCTAATCAAGTAACTGTGACTTCATCCAAGATGCCTTCTCTCTCCTCTCTTCACCTTTCTAATCTTTCCTTTTGATCCCCTCTTTCCCCATCCCCAACCTGGAACTGGCTTGCCCCCAATCGACGGTGTGGTTAATAAGTTCCAGGCTTCCTTTCCTTTCAACACTTCTCTCTCTCCCTCTCTCTTTTCTTTAACAGTCCGAAATACCTGCAAGGGGGAGAAGGAGGCTGAAGCCCCCCCTCCCCCCCTCCCCCCCCCCCCCCGCTACCCTCTTTCCCCCCGTTTTTCCTCTTCCGACGCCACTTGTATGGTAGAACGCTCCTCGACCTGGAGTTGTGTCGGCTTTTGTGCTTTTTGCGAGGCGATTCCTCCGTCCCAGAAAATAAACCTCCAGGACAATTATAAACTTCACCAGATCCGATTACTACCAGGGTGCAAGGGGTAGGGAGGTAGTTTGCCAGGTCGCTTCAAGGTTTTTCTGAGCCTCAACCTCCTGCTCGCCCCTGGCCGTTTCGAACTGGATGAGTCTCGTAAAACAGTGTGTTCGTGCAATCACTACTGCGTAATGCAGGTTAAAGACCTCCCCCCCCCCCCCCCCCCCCCGGGGGGCTGGCGGTCACAATTCTGCACTGGCAAATATTCTAGCACGTCCGGGACACTCGTCGTCTCATTTAATTGCCTGACCAACTTCGCAGAATCTAGATATCACACCCTAACTTTTCTAAACTTGATTTTGTGAAAACCAGTGAGTCGTGAAAACGTTCTTTGAAACTGAAACTGTGGAAAAACTTGAAAATCGGACTTCGAACTTTGAAAACTTGGATTAGAAAGGAATGGACTTCTTCCAAAACCGACGCGCCCCATCGCGGCGAAATACCACGCATTGCACTCTGGGAACTAGTTGGCCACTCAGTTTCGGTTTCGACTGAGCAGCTTCATCTCATGCTATCACGCCGCGACCGAACGCGCTGCTTGCGTTTTCGATTATCTGACTTTTCACGAACGTACAATACACTCATTATCGAGCGATACAAAACGAAGACCGGGGCACTTTCCTTGGTTGCCGAAACACCAGATATTGTGCGTGCGTACACCTCACCCGACGAATGCATCTTTGAGCTCAATGTCGGTAATCCCGTCTAGTACCAGTGAACTACAACTGAATTTGTTCGTCTGGAGCCTTACACGCATTTTGTTTGCCAAACGTCCGCTTCTTGTTACTTCATTGAACGAAAAGCAAGCCGCATCCTCACGGGGTATCAAAGTTGAGGACAGCGTTTACGCATGAACTTTTAAGGAAACGCAATAAATTTGACCTCACTACTGCACAAAAGTTACTATGATGTCTTCCTCGTGTCATCATATATCTCCCACTCAAATTTTATGCAGATAGGAGATTAACTTTCCGCAAACGCTGAGATCGGCTAGCTACGACGGAGGCCCTAACAAACGTCCCCTACTCCTCGCTAAGCCTTTTTGGACGAGCTTTTACTGACGCCCGAGATCTGTGCCGGGAACGGTGTGTCTGAAATTATCTCGGCATACTCAGGCAGGAAGAAAGCAAACACATAACAAATATTATGGCCATTAGCAACCGTCAAATACGCTTTGAATTCGTTCGAGCACTTGTCTAAAGAATGTCGCACCGTGCGCCGGACGGGCATGAACCCCAATGCGGTGCGCATAGGGGTTCATGCCCGTCTGACGCACTTCCGGCGAACGGTGCGACATTCTTCACAGAAGTGCTCGACTTTTGCATTCTTAAAACGGTCTGTATGCGCGAATTCGCCTATATTATTGCAGGATAACTTTACGCGCATACGCGATGTTGAATACTAGTGAAATGCAAGCGGGTGGGGACTTCACTTCGTGCAGTGCTGCGGGTCAGTGCAAATAAGAGATAAGAAGTGTGTTAAAATTGAGCTTTTCAATGGCACCTCCGAGTTCTACCTCGCATACTCAGGCACATTAAGAAAAACAGTAATTGCAAAAAGTTATATTTCGTCTATGGACGCACGAAGCAAACAAACTTCCTGATCAACAACACTAATGTAAAGGCGCGAGCTCGATGTATGCATACTTATTGCTTGCTACAGCTTGTTGATTCGAACACAAGCAAGATCCCCGAGCACCCGAGCTTCGCAGCGTCGAGACTCCCAGCACTGGCTCGTCCATATACCTCGATTGGAACGCTAACAGGATGGCTCAAGTACAAAAATACAACAAGCTTGTGTTAAGACAAGCTATACATCTCGGGCTTGTGCTAAAGCTTCGAGGTCTGACCATTTAGGTTAGTTTAGAGACCACAAATGACGCTCTCGGGACCAGAAAACAATCTCTTGTCGACGTGTCGATCGAAACCGAAACCATGACACCCTCCTCCCTGGCCAACTAGTTCCCAGAGTGCAACGGGCGCCGTGTTGCATGCAGGGCTTTATGGAAGTAGTCTATTCAAAATCTTCGAAAGTTTTCTTCTTTTTTTTAAATTTAGCGTTAAAAGAGAATCGAAACCTTCGACCTTTTCGAACTTTATGCAGAAAGAAATTCGAAATCTTCGAATTGTTCGAACTTCATGTCTATAAAAATTCGAAGCGTTCGAAGTTTTCGAATTTTTTTTCCAAAGAATTTCGAAATCTTCGAATTTATCGAACCTTAAGTAAAAAAATAATCGAAATGTTCGAATTCGAAATTTTAGAAACCGTGAAAGCTTCGAAATTTTAGAATTCGAAACTCCGCTGTGGTCGAAAGTTGCGAATTTTCGAAATCGAACCTCGGTCGGTACGAAAATATCGAAATTTTTCGAAATCGAACCTCAGTTCGCTTCGCAAATATCGAAACCTTTCGAAATCGAACCTAGGGTGGTTCGCGACATCCCTATTCGCGACTCCAGCGACCTATAGGGGGCGCCACCACCAAACAAACATGGCGGCTGGGTCCAGGTCGAGTCGGCTCGGCCGGGCCGCCTGAACGGGTGGCGCATTCAATTTATCATATTTTCTTTTGTTTAATGCCCAATTTTATAGGTATTTGAACTGAGACGGTTAAGTGTAGCCGGTGCACATAAACTTGCAGAGCATAGTTCTGTTTTCCCGGTGTTTTTGTTCCTTTTATGTCAAACTTTCGTTTCGGAGATTTCGTTCAAAACTGAAACTATCTGCTCTGGAGAGACGGTAATAGACTTAATCAGTTTTGATCAGCTAAGGAAAGCGGCGATGAGTAGAGAATTGTTCTACCGAGAGTAATTTTCAGCTAACTCGCATGTCTCGACCATGCGACTTATCTGTCTGCGAAATCGAGCCTTTGTGCGTATCCGCGTTTAAGAAACAGCTCCAGTCGTGTGCTCGGTCAGCAACACAGGCTGCAGGAAAATTTCGAAATTTAAGCAATCGCTTCTTGAGCCAAGGAGCATGTCAACCCGCTGGCGCTTCACTAAGCAGCTGATACTCGTATTTCAATCCAGGTTTTAGTAGCAATCCAGAAGTCATTTTGACGAGCGGGTTATGTATTATATTACGTGCTATGGGGGGGAGGGGGGGTCCCACTAAAGCGATATTAGTATATTCTTCCGGTTGAAATATGAGCTTAGTTGACTGCTGTGCTGAATAAAAGTATATTTGACAGACAGAGAGCTCCTACTTAAAACTTAGCCAAATGGTTCTCGCCGGTAGCACGGAGACGAATGAGGACAAACTGAGGAGAGTCTTCACCGGAGATTCACGCAGAACCTCTCTGCATTTAACTTGACTTCGAATCCTGAACAATGAATTTTAGTATTTTTGTTTCCAGACAACCTGAGCAATGTGGACGTATATTGCTGCTGGCTTTGACGGGGCTATAATATAAATATTGGAGGCGCGATAGATCATAAAGCCGTGACAGCTTCTAACTTTGCGAGACCCGTTCCTCACTTTTTGAAAGCAGATAATTTTTCTTATTAATCATTTGCAGCGAGCAGGTTTTCCTGAATCAAGTAATTGCGAAATCAGCCCAACTTCTTCAGTGTGATCCAGAGATTTTTCGGCGAAAAGCAGCCAAGATGAATAGCCGACGCACCGACCGGCGTGGGTGGCTCAAACTTGAAGCTAAGCGAACACAACCAAACTCAAGAAAAGCAGCTATCGAACCTTCCCGTTCACTTGACTGCAACATTGCTGTTCCCTCCAGTGACACACCTCGTCTGTCATCCTCAGTTCACTGTTCTCCATCCGTATAAAGAAACCACTTATCAGTTACCAACTAGTCGTCACTTTGAATGTGATTCGAGACAGACAAGAAATGAAAACGTTTTTTCGTGATTCCTCCCCATGCAGCAAATCGAAAGCACGAGACCGTGTGTTGGGGAGTAAACGGGCTTTCAAGCACCTGGTGGAAGGAAGCAATCTACTGAGTCTTCACCACACTAATGAGCACTCAGGCAAACTTGAGAAATTTTCGCACCTTCGTCAAATTACATTGTTCGCCACCGCGTCGACAACACATGTCCGCGAAAGCCACCAGAGACGCGGAGAGGCGCGGAGCGACCTGTTCCGGCTGGTTCCCGGTTTTCCCGCTTGGTGGCGGCCGTTCTGCTGGAGTCGCGAATACGTATCTGTTTTGTGAAGTAGAAATTTTTTTTTAGACGTTTTGCACGGATTATATCGTAAAAATTAAAATAAAACTGCGTCAACATTAAAAAAAAAATTTAGAAAAAGGAACAGCGGCTCCGGGATCCGAAGAGCTCCCGGGAGCGTAGCGAGGAGCGACGCAAGAAGGAAAGAAGGGGGGAAAGAGAAGGAGAAGGAGACGGGTACCGGAGAACCGGAGCAGAAACGCCCAAACCGAAACCGAAACTAACTTGAGCGGAACTGGAACTAGGGTGTGTTTAATGCTGTCCGCTAGGAGCGCTAGCTGTCACTCGTCCATCTGGGCCGTTGGGGCCTATGTGTCTGCTCTTTACCTTGTGTATATTACTGTATGGTCCCCGCACCGTCCCGTTTTTGGCACGGCGCCCACGGCGCTTTCGCCGGGACGGAGCGAAACGCCGGCTGTGTGAATAGGGAGTTTTCGTAGATCGTTTTCGCCGTCCCGCAAGGCCCTCCGCAATCCGCTACGATAGCGGGAACTCCACAGTCAAGGCTATCGGCGCGCAGGCGCAGTAGCAACTTCTTCGTTGCGGAAGGCTTAGCGGAGGGGGTAGCGCGGTCTACGAAAACTCCCTAATGAGGCCTAACGCGGAGCGGGCACGGTACCTGCGCTAGCTCGACCTGTAATGTTCACTACTAACAAAAAAAAATAATAAAGGGAATCAAAGAATAAAGTGTACGTACCAGACGATGCTGAGGTAACCGATACGGCGTTTATTTGAGCTTAATGTCAAACAAAAAGTAGACTCGATCGACGTGCGAGTGACGAGACGAGAGTCCGGCACCGACGAAGCCCCGACCGGCTAGCACCGAACACATTCCCTCGCACCACGGTCCACCCCACCGCTCACAACTTCGAAAATGGTAACAGCGAACAAAGCGGAGGGAAAACTCGCCCTCTATCCCGAAAACAAGGTCAGCCTATTCATGCGGGAAGGGTCCACTTCGAAGAAAAGGTCGGGAACTTTTTCTTGTGATTCAGCAAGGTGCGCCTAGCTGGGCTTTGCTTGTGGGTGAAGTTGAGGGAATCGTAGGCACGTTTCGCGGGTCCCTGCCTCTCTTTTTTTTTTCGTTTTTAGATGCCTGAACTTGTGCTGCTTGCGAACATCCCAAGAAAAATCTACAGAGTGCCAAAATAGCAAACGTTTGGCTTTGGATCGTGAATTAAAGTGGATTTTGGGTTGTAAAACAGGGTTGCCAAACGCAAGTCTCAAAAGATCACGCGTGATCGCCGAGAAACCGCCAACCGCTTCTCGGTGTGTCTGAACGGGGTCGCTCGCGAACCGCATCCGCAACCGCTTCGCGAACGCGGATCCGCTTCCAATGTGAATGCGCCATTAGGCGCCCGTTTTCGGCTTGAGCGGCATCGCCGTCGCCGTTACCGCGCGGTACATTTTGGGTAAATTTCCCCACCAAATTTAACGGAAAATGTTTCCCGCTAAATTTAGTAGAAAATTTAGCGGAAAAACTTCCCCGCCAAATTAAGCGGAAAATTTCCCCGCTAAATTAAGCGGAAAAATTTCCCCGCTAAATTAAGCGCCAATAAATGTCCGCTAAATTTATAGCAACATTTTCTCGACAAATTTAGCGGTAAAATTTCCCCGCTAAATTAAGCGGAAATAAATGTCTGCTACATTTACAGCAACATTTTCTCTACAAATTTAGCGGAAAATTTCCCCGCCAATTTTAGCGGGAAAAGTTCCCCGCTAAATTTAGTGGGAAAAATTCCCCTCTAAACTTAGCGGTAAAATTTCCCCGATAAATTTAGCATAAAAATTTCCCCCCTAAATTCAGCGAAAAAAATGCCCCGCTAAATTTAGCGGAAAAATTTTCCCTCCATATTTAGCGGAAAATTTTCCCCGCTAAATTTAGCAGAAAAAATTTTCCTGCCAAATTTAGCGGAAAATGTTTCCCGCCAAATTTTGCAGAAAACTTTTCCCGCTAAATTTAGTGGAAACGAATTCCCCGCTAAATTTAGCGGAAAAATTTCCCCGCTAAGTTTAGCGGAAAGAGTTCCCTGCCAAATTTAGCGAAGTAATTTCCCTGCTAAATTTAACGGGAAAATAATATCCGCTAAATTTAGCGGAACCCTAAATAGGAGGCGGGCAGGAGAGGAAGGGCATAGCCTCCTTTCCCTACCTTTCCCTCCACCTCCTCAAGAGCTTCGCTCCATTTCGGCGTTACAGGGGTTTGTAAGCGTCTTCCATTTTTTTGTTCCCACCGTTTTGGGCAATTTCATTATTGCTTTTAAAAAAGGCTAACAACGTACGTTTTTATTTCATTTTGCTCTTCACTATAAGCCTATTTCAAAAGGGCGCCGCCATCTTGAAATATCGCCACTTCCAGTATGGGCGAAAACATTGTTTTACTGTAGCCACTCCAATTAAATGCATTTAGGATATAAGCGTGATCGTGGCCCATTCTCGTTTTGTCTCCCTCTATTTGTTTACTACTTGCAGATTGAAATGTTTTATTGTTTTTTCGTCGCCCATACTGCATATGCCTACAAGGTGGCCGGGGACGAGAGTAAGCGAAAAAGGTCTGTAATTGGGAGTGAAGGAGAACTCTAAATGCTTTTCAGCGGTCACAAGTCAAAGTCAAATTGGACGTTTTAGTAATTTAGACAGCGTAATGTTCGTCTGCCAGTAGGGGCGACAGTGGTTTATACTGTAGATGAGCAATTTCGCCAGTGCAGTACGACTGCTAACCTGGGGTCTTTAACGTGCTCACGCAGAAGGGATACACGACCGCACGCCGGTACGATGCTCATCCAGATCGAAACGGGCAGGGGTGGGGCTCGAACCCAGGATCCCTGGGTTCTGCAGCGCGAGCTTTCGCTCCACGCGCGTCAAGCTGGGTGTGCGCTTCAGTCCACTCGGCTGAAGCGTAGATCAAGTCAACACGCCCGTGGAGTAAAGACTGAAAAATAGGGAGCTCTTTGTAGCGGTTGTTTGCTAAATTGAGATATACGTAACAAAATTGAGGTAGCGTGATGTCTATGTTTAAGTTGAGGTGCAGAGGATGTGAGGTACATTATTTTTTATCGTTATTTTTACATGTGTCCCCTGCTAAATTTAACGGAAAGCGTTTCCTCGCTATATTTGGCGGGAAAATGGAATTTGTGCGTAATTATTAATCAATTCATGTTTCCCCGATAAATGTACAGAAGTACTTACATTTTACACATTTACGTTGCACGCTTTTGTAGCACCGCCTTATGAAACCATAACCCATAAACGCAATCTCTATATATATATAAAAAAATCCTGAATAGCACAAGACGTGCCATCGTTGTGTAGGTCCCTAGGCCCCTTTGTGGCTTCGAGGTAAGCCCTGGCCTACGGATCCCCAGTTGGCGGGTTTGAAGCCCGGTCGAAGAGCCCGCAATCTGACGGATGGTTATTGCCGAGAAGGCGCCGTGTAACCGAGATATCAGTCACACATCCAAAGATCCTCAGGTGGTCAAGATTAATTCACGATTCTCACCTGGGGCGTGCCCGATGTCCTTCAGGGGTTTGACTCGTAAAATTACCAAATTCGTTTCTGTTTGCAGTCCCCTCGCTCACGAAGAAGCGGCTGTGCGCGCACCTGACCGTTCTGGCCCTCAGCATCTTGGCCTTCCTGGTCGCTCTCGATCTCCTGGGCGACGCCTTCAAGCTGGTTGGCGGCAGGGCGGCGAGTCATGTGCTCTCGGACAGCTCCGTCCTCATAAACCCCGTAGTGGGGCTCATGGTCGGGGTCCTGGTCACCGTGCTCATGCAGAGCTCTTCATCCTCCACCTCCATCACCGTCTCGATGGTGGGATCCAACCGTAAGTTCTTCGGATCTTCTCACAGACGGTCCGCACTAATAAAAGTTAGCAGAAATTATTAGTAAAAAGACTAAGTGTGCAGGCGAGCAGGTGGCAGCCAATCACGTCGTTTAACACTTGAGACTGCGGTGCAAGAAGAGAAAAACAAAACAGTTGGCTGAGTTTGAGACGTCCCCTTCTGTGTGTGCTCCTTCGCCTAAACGGTTTTTTTCTTTTTTTTCCTTTCTGCTCTACAGTTTTAAGTGTTAAACGACATGACAAATGATTGCTGGCTGGAACTGTGAAATCACAGCACGCAGCGCTGTGTTTTAGCGGATACACTGACAGCTGTAGTTGGTGAAAACTTAAAAGGGCAGTGCCAGAATTCTTTTACTTTGCGGGGATACCGCTTTGAACAAATCCCTGACATTTACGACCAATGAAAAGACGCGCTCGTTTTCGGGCGCACCTCTTATGCGCCCCTTTCTGTTTTTCGCAGTGTTACCGTCGGCGTTGGCATAACCAAGCTAAATTTAACGGGAAAATTGACGTCCCGTGACCTCCAATACCAATTCCATTCCCCGCGTTAACACGCTGAATTTAGGGGGAAGTTGACATCACGTGACGTGAACAGCAAATCAATTCTCCGGTACATTTAGCGGGCAAATTCAGTTTCTCCAGTAGATTTCGCGGAGAAGTTGAGTTTCTAGCCGAGAAACGGAATTTGTCCACAGGTGACGTGACAGCAAATCATGGTACATCATTTTCCCCGCTAAATTTAGCAGAGGAACTGATACGGTGCTGAGGTCAAGTGGCGTCAATTTTTCAGCTAAATTTATCGGGGAAACGGTGGGAGGACGAGGAGGGGAGAGTGCAAAAGAGGAGAGGAGGATACGGAAGAGGAGACAAATGAGAGGAAGGAAGGATGAGGAGAGGGTACGGAGGAGGAGGGGAAGACCCTCCCCTCCTCCCCCTCCTTAAGAGCTGCGCTCTAATTTCGCAGTACAGAGATCTGAAAACGTCTCATTTTTTCTCACGCAATGAACGTCGCAGAAAAAATAAAGAAAAACGAGCAACGTTCACCCCCTCAATTCGCAGCCAGTACAAGCGGCGACGTGATCTGCAACTAATTACATGCCGCCAATGTGGATCATAGCCACGAGAGGAGGTTGGCAAAGCACGGGACACACGCTTAGTTCCATGCATAGTTAGGGTTCGGCTATTGTCTTCAATGCCACGATTGTTTACGAGCCAATACTTGAATGTTTGTTGAACTGTTGACTATCCCGAGCCCAAATCGCGTGCTCGCGCAATGCTCAGTTCCAATCTATAAGCCGCATTCAAATATCCTCACTGGGTGGTACTTCGACCGCCCAGCTATATCATCAAGTTTTGCGAAGGAGAGATTGAATGAAAACGCACACTTTTGTCCTTGAAATTACACCACAACAAAAAGGTTTGTTGGTTAATGGCGTTGCGTGCGACTATACTTGGGTCCGACTAGTGCCAGTAAACTCGTGTAAAGGGGAAAACATTCCAATTGGATATCGTTGTACCGCCCTGTAGACGTGGTCGTTTTTTCTTTGATATTATTGAGAATAGTAGGGAAAGCACCACGCGCTCTGTGCTTTTCATGTGTCTGTCGGCACTTTGGCCGGGTCCCAAGAAGTGTTTTCGGAGACCAAGTGTCGCGTTTCCCGAGTTGAGGGGGGGCTCCCGCAAGCGTTCGAGACACAGCTCTTCTTCCGCGGTTTGTTTTTGGGCGTATTGCTTATAGTTCGTGTGAGCGCTTTCCTGCCCCTACGTGCCGAAAGTCCGTTTCCAAACTCGTAAAAAAGCACCGCTTTCCTACGAGTGGCCGTTGCCCCCAGGGCTACGAGCGTCTGCTCCTTGACCTTGAAGCACAGGGCCAAACGTAAATTCACCGAGGGACCCGGGCGGAGAGACAAACACGTCGACGCACGTTAGGACTTTCACTGAGCCAGAGAGGAAGTGCCTCTGCCTCTTGGAATCGTACCTCTCCCGTGACGCTCGCAGATTAGGCACGATACTCTTGTATGTGCCTGGCGTACGTCTGTTTCTGCTTGAGTCTCTCCATCTGCGCTTTTTGGCCGCATAAACGTGCACCGGTCGACATGTTTCGGCGGTGGTTCTCGCTGTGGTTCGCGCTTGTATATTTTCTGCGGAAAGCCGGGTTGTACTTGTCAGCGACTGTCAAGTCGTTCCGTAAACTACGGTCTATGTGCTTTGTGGACGTCGGGACCCGTACACTAAAGTTTCGTGTACGTCTGGCCCGTTTTGGTTTTGGCTTTTCAATTTTCACCCAGCCTTTGTGGTGGGACGAATTTACCCGACGGGGCACGTTTCCGTCATAGTAGCGGACCCCTATATTTCCTCCGGCCTCTGAGCCGAACCGGACTTGGGTTTGGATTCTGGAATTTCGAACCAAGGAGAGAGTGTTTTTATGACTCCACGTATGAGCAGCAATTTCGAAATTGAGTCGCTTAGCGTGTGTTGGCGCATGGGACCAGCTGAATGTTTTCAGGGCCCTGATTGAACAGCCAGGACGTCCGACAAGCTGTCTTAAACCCTGATGAGCTTGTGCGCGACACTTTAAAGTTCATCTCCCGCGATACGCCACGTGACCTGTCGTCCGGGACAGGTACTTTGATTAGCGCCTACGACGCAGCCGCCGTCCTCACCTTGAGCGGCACGAAACCTGACTTCAAGGCGTTCTTTATTTGTAAGCCGTGTGCGGCAATTTGCCCAAGTGATCACCTTTTTCCCCCTTTTTGTATGTAACCTGATGTTTCAGTAAAGTTTTTGTTGTCTGTTTTTAATCGGGCACAACGCCTCCGGTTCTTACCGCTTATCACCGACAACCAACGTTCCAGCAGCCAGCTTCATCCACGATCCCCAGGTCCTCGATGGCAGTCAAACAAGGTGTACATCGAGGTGCGGCAAGACAACCAGAACATCACCACTTGCCCCTTTAAAGGGTAACTGCAAAGAAAAAGGGCTTTTTAAACAGCCTAATTGGGACAAGCTGGTCACAAAACAAATCTTCCGCGCGAAAGAACAAATTTTTTTCTAGCGATATTTACTCCAAAGGAGATAATTTATTCGGAGTCACAACTTCTCCACATTTGAAACTCCCGCTCTTTCGACGCGCGCGGAGTGGCTGTTATACGTCACTCCGTGACGTATAGCAGCCACTACGGGACGTATAATACCAACTTTGTGGCGTGCGATTTAAGACGGGCTAAAAGCCGCAAACTAAAATCAGTCTCGCGCAACTAATATTGCTGTAACAAAATTTGTTTTTGGCGGCAAAATTGTTTTGTGACTTGCTTGTCCCAATTAGGCTGTTTAAAAATACATTTTTTTTCTTTGCAGTTACCCTGTAAGAATCCAGTGTACGCTCCGCTTCGAGTGCGGGCGTTTCGGCTTCGATAGCGCTTCGTCGCGTGCTCAACCACAGCGAGGCAAATGGCAACGAGCACATGCAGGAGAAGCGTCTATTGGGTCTTAAAGCGAAGCTGTTTATGACTAGGGTTCCGTGGAATTTTCGTGTGCGTCAACACGTCGTTCCCGTAGCCTGGGTAAGCGCCGCAGAATCTTCCAGCCGATGTCTAACAACAGGACTTTCATCTTGTGAAACTTCTAGCGTCAACGTCAAAACTTCCTGACGTTATTCTTCGACGTAAGCTGGTCCAATCATGATTTGCATTGGCGTCACCGAAGCTTCTAGGTGATGTTCCTCAACCGAGCCTGCGCCTCTTGAAACTTGACATGACGTTGGCAAAGCTTCGCGATTCTCCTCGACGAAATATTCGCCTTAGTTGTCCGAGACGGTTCTCCTGGTTGACTGCTCTTGTTCCCCAGGAATGGGTAGAAAGTGTAACAACCGTTTGCATCTTTCAGTGTCACATTCTTCAGGCAAAGCCACGAGCTTGGAGGCATTCCAGCTGCGTCCGTCCTCCAGGCCAAAACTGCCTGGACCCAACTGTTTCTGTATTTTATTGGTCGGGAGTTTGAAAGCTCACGCCTTACTGACACTTGCGGGCTTACGGACCCGTACATAATCTCCCTTCTTGAATCTTGGAGTTTTGGCACTTCGTTTCGCGTCTGTAAACTCCTTCGTCGAGTGCTATTTGATTTAGACACGAATTCGTTGCGGTTCCATTGCCGTGGCTGGCTCCTGAAAGAAATTCTTCGATGGAAGGCCAATGATGTCAAGTCGGGTCCTGGGTTGGAGATGGTGAAGGAGCTGAGCAGGAGACACCCCTGTGGTCGAGTGGGGTGTAGTCCGGTATGCACCCAAATAGTCCACGGCGGCTTCTTTAAGCGGTCCTCCTTCCAGAACTGAAACTTGAATAAAGTCAAAAAGTCTCCTGCTGAATCGTTCGACCGACCCATTGGCCTGCGGGGAGTATACCGACGAGAGACAATGTTTGGTTCTTCTCTTGTGTAGAAAGTCGTCAAGAAGCCTCGACTTGATCTGTGGCCCGTTGTCTGTCACGAATTCTTCCGGATAGCCCTCCCGACTGAACACGCCTCTCAAGAATCTATCACCACTTGTGACGTAACCGCATTTGCAAAACAAACTTCCGGCCACTTGGAATGGTAGTCCACAAGGGTGATGATGAACTTGGGACTTCCGGTGGTCAGGTGCAGCGGATTCACGATGTCCATAGTTAGCTTTTGCCAAGGCTTCTCCGGGAGAGTAACAGAGAGTAGTGGTGCCACGACCGGTTTTGCTGACTTGTCAGCTGATTAGCCACGTGACAGCTTCGCACAGCATACTCACCTGCCTGTCTATTCATTGCCATCGAACTTGTCTCGAAGTCTTTGTTTGGTTTTCACGATGCCAGGGCGTGCCTCGTGTGCAAGAGAAACCAAGTCAAATGAACGTCAGCGAATCTGGCACAACGATCTTGTCTTCCCTGAAGACAATGCTATCCACAACGGACAATTCCACAATTCCCCCCTAAGCTGGAGGAAAGGCATTAGCTCCTGAG